TCATGCAATTTTTCACTTCATCGTTTTTGATACCTTATACTATCATCAACAGTGGATCTAATGGCTGCTAATAGTTTGTGACCAAATAACGTTTTTAATTCTTCTTATTCAAATACCTCCGGCTGTTTCAGCCGTTCCTTACGTATATCAAATTCAGCAATTTTAAGTCGTTTGACCATTTTCAGCTTGTTCATTCAGGGGAAGCAGATTCGTAATGAACGCATACAAGGTCATCAATTAAACGCTAACATTCAACTGGAGTGTCTTTCAACTTAAAATGAAACATCTATTCTTACCGTAACTTCATTTATGGGAACATAGTCTTCTTCATTTCCTATACTATTAAGCAGCATTGGTAAGACTTCAACGAAAAAACAAGGGCAACAGTAGTTTAAGTAGTGCACCTCATATACCCCATAGCTCCAGCATTTTATCCTACGGAAACAGTGATTATAGGTGTTTTATGAATGGAAATTAGGATGGGCAGTGGAATATACTCTAATAACTGCTATTTGCATTTTTATTTTATTGTTTTTAGAAATTTTGTTGATTTATATCTGTGGAATTTCTTAATTTGCATTATCGCTTAACGTATTTCGGAAAAACCCGATTATCAAAATGCAGGTTTCTAGAAATTCCTTAAAAAATAGAAACGATGGTTAGGAAGTCGTCTACTTCAACTAACCTGAGGACAACTTACCGTTCTGGAGTTAGATTAGTATAGTCCGCGGTGCGAAGCGCCGCGCACACCTTCAATTTACATGCGAAACAACTTACTCCTAGCGGCCGCTGGGAAACAAACTCAACTACATTTTTCCACTTTATACTTACTTCTACAAATTTCCTTCACTGAATATCCTATTTTCCCACCCCTAGCTTCCTTTAACCACCATTTTCGTAGGACAAAATGCTGGGACTAGGGGTATATGAGGTACACAACTTTACGTACCTTTGCCAAAACTAGATATGAAAGCTGTGTCCAATTATTCTAAAATACGCAGCTTGTCGATTTTAGTTACCTAGAAGCAAAAATGGGCAGAAAATCTAAAACAAACTCGTACGAATTAAATCTTCCACCTAACATTAGACATTTCTTGCAATATATGCGCCTTTATGGCAAACGGTTCATCTATGAAGGAGAAAGAGACATTCTGGTACTGAGGCAGAATGGTTAGAACGTTGCAGTACAGATTATGAGGGTTACAACGAGCCCGTGGCTCAGTAGTTACAGCGTTTATCTTCTGATCAAAAGTTCGATCCTCGTGTGGGTATGACTGACTGATGAGGACTGCCAATAGACGTAAATATGCGAGTTTCAGGAAGCAGTTTAGAAGAAGAAGGCGCGACCACTGGAACAAGAGCTTTATTTTCCTGACGTTTCGGATTTCGTCGGGAATCCAGGAACTCGCATATTTACGTCTTTTGGCAATCTCTTTGGGCGCGATGCGCTCCGATCGGCTTGACGGTGGGAAACATCTACCTTTCGAGAGTCGTCTACTTATGCGCAGATCTGATTCCTGCACAGGCGTCTGGAAAATAATGCGTTACAGAAATGTATTTCGTACAGACCTCCGGTTAATACAGAGTTGGCGAGAAGCAAATAATTTCAGCACGGTAGATGTATCGGCAC